AATTTTTAATCTTGTAACTTAAGAACTCAGTTTTTCCACATTCCTTTATATAGAGTTAGCATCTGTAAACTGAGACCCTTTTTTGGGTAATCATACAAATTTAATTTGTCCCTGGAAACAAAAACACAACCTAACAGATTAACAAAATATGTCCTTTAGACAATATTTTTTCAGTGAATTTTGCTGCACTGTTACCATTTTTATCCTTCAGTAAATGAAACTACACTTAAAAAGTTTACGTATTTTGAGTTTACAAAGAGCTAAACTCTTAATTAAGAAGACTATGAAGTCAACCTATACTCATTTCAGAACTGGCTTCCCTCTTTTCAAAAGTAAATTCTAAAAGTTTTTTAGTTATTATTATTAAGTTATATGAGCTAGAGACATTTTGACTGCCTTCAATGCTTCTGTAAAATTGAATAAAGATTTTATTATACCACACACACAAAAAGCAATTGGTACAGAAAAGGCAGTTTTCAGTTATTCTGTTGAGAATTTCTTTCCATGATTTCTCCCATTAAAGTATAGTTTTCAAAGCAACCACCACGACAAAGGAAGCATCTAATTAGTCCGTTTTCTTCTGATCCAAGAATGCTGAACATTTACTGTCCCATCTGTAGTTGTATCAGCAGTGTAATGAACACAGTTTATATTACTTAACTATTCTTTGAACTCCAAGAACTGTTGAAGTCTTTTCTGATGTTCTGCAGATGCTTGCACAGCACTAAATGAAACATAAATTCAAAGCATAAGCTTTATTTTACATTAAGCATATTAAGTGAACCACAGAGCACAGAGTCAATATTTTTCAAAACAATTAAAAATGAATAGAAATCTTCACTTCTTTAGTATTTCTGAAAAAGTTGGATGAAAAGTCTTTTTAATCTAATGAAGAGGAGGGCTTGCATTCAGTAACGGCATGCTTCTATCTTCTAAAAGACCAAAGCAAATTAAGACTGACAAGTGAAGGCATTGACTTTAACCTGCTCTGCGATGGAACCTGCTGTGCAGAGTTCCAGGCCTTGCAGTAGATTTTCTGGATTTTATTATTTTATTTAAACCAGATTCCAACATTATCTTTGAGCTGCAGAGTATCTGAACTGCCTTCAATACAAAATCCTTTAAACTTAAATGTTTGGTTAAAACACAATAGATTCCATTAATTACTTTCAAAGGTAACAGCTTGGTGGTTTAGATTTACTTCTCCCTTTGAACATAAGTTATGTTTTAGATGGGAACACTGAGTTCTCTCTCCACCCTCACCATCACAAAAATATATTACCTTGACAAAATTAGGGCAAATATATACTGAAACTAGTATAACACTTCCTCTTAAACTTTTGGGCAAAAATTGAATATAAAGATTCCGGTTTTCTAGTTCTTGAATAGGTCACCGCTTTTTAAAGTGCCAAAACAGTCTTATTTTAATAATTTTGTTATGAATCGTCCTAAAATGTCTTATAGACATCTTTACTTTCTTGAACCATGTACCCTCTAATTGAACCATTTCAAGTATTTTACTGCACAAAGATGCCCTCTAGGTGCTAGTGAGGCTGTCTTCTCTAATTTAATGGCTCTGAAACTCTCTCAAACACCAAATCTATGACTTTCCCATGACATTTCTCTCTGCTAGCAGGTAGTAAAGTGTCCCTTACAATTTACTGTTAGTACTCCTGACTCTAGTAGCAATCTCTGCTCCTCAAATAAATTTTGATATGGGCCAGGCATGGTGGCTTACACCTGTAATCCCAACATTTTGGGAGGCTCAGGCAGGAGAACTGCTTGAGCTCAGGAATTTGAGGCTGCAGTGAACTATGCTATGACCTTGTCACTGCACTATAGCCTGGGCAACAGAGCAAGACCCTGACTCAAAAAAAATTTTTTTGATATGTTATAGGCTGGAAAACCAGAATTAAATTAGCCTAAATTAGGAGTAAATGGGAGGTGGCAGGGAATGGGGAGATGTCGGTCAAAGGATAGAAAGTTGCAAACGTGTAGGATGAACAAGTCTAGAGACCTAATGTATAACATGAGGACTATGGCTAACAAAATTGTATTGTACTAGGTATTTTTGTTAAATAAGCAGACTTTAGCTGCCCTTGACATACACACAAGAAAGTAACTATGTGAGATGACAGACATGTTAATTTACTTCATAACAGTAAACATTTTATATGTAAACCCCATGTTATAAATCTCAAATATACACAATACAATTTATCTTTTAAAAAATGAGTAAATAGAGTTGAATGAATGTCTCCAATGAGTAGCCTGTGTTTCTTAGTTGATTTTCAGAGCTCAAGAGCTAACTTCATTTATACCTCGTTCTCAGAGGTAGAGCTTTGAATAGTGAATAATCAGGTATTATACAGTAATAAGTATCATGATAATGTAGACTGCACAGTGGGCTTTACCTATGTATGATCCATTTTATCTTTACTAACAACAAATGAAACCAAGTGGGTGTGAGAACATTCCCTTTCATGGGGACATAAATTGTATCAGAAAGATTCAGAAGTTAGGGGAAACACCAGCCTATTGGTTAGGAGTACAGACACTATAGACAGAACCCTAGGGTTAGGAAGATTTGCATCTGAATCCTGGTTCTGCAACTCACTACCTGCATAATCTTGGGTGAGTTACTTAACAATCACAGATAGCCAATGATGTAAGCAGACAGAAATCCAGATATTTTAACTCCAGATCTAACATTCTTTCCACTATACGACATTATCCTACATTTGTACAAATAGCCTCCACTGGTTTTATCAACTTTAACGCATATATAAAATCTGGCTCTTTTCAGAGAAAAGAAACTAAGGCAGAATTTCCTTCTCACAATTTTTATTTTATTTGTTTATTTATTTATTTTTGAGGCAGGGTCTTGCTCTGTTGCCCAGGCTGGAGTGCAATGGTGCAATATTGGCTCACTGCAACCTCCACTTCCCGGTTTCAAGTGATTCTCCTGTGTCAGCCTCTGGAGTAGGTGGGATTATAGTTGCCTGCTGCCACACCCAGCTAATTTTTGTATTTTTGGTAGAAAAGGGGTTTCATCATGTTGGCCAGGCTGTTCTCAAACTCCTGACCTCGGATAATCTGCCCACCTCGGCCTCCTGAAGTGCTGGGATTACAGCTGTAAGCCACTGCACCCGGCCCATTCTCATAATTTTTAATCAGTCATCTATATCTCTTTCTTTTTTTCTTTGAGACAGAGTCTCACTCTGTTGCCCAGGCTGGAGTACAGTGGCACGATCTCAGCTCACTGCTACCTCCACCTCCTGAGTGCAAGCGATTCTCATGCCTCAGCCTCCTAAGTAGCTGGGATTTCAGGTGAGCACCACCACACCCAGCTAATTTTTGTATTTTTAGTAGAGACGGGGTTTCACCATGTTGGCCAGGCTAGTCTCAAACTCCTGACCTCAGGTGATCTGCCCACCTCGGCCTCCCAAAGAGCTGGGATAACAGGCATGGACCACTGTGCCCGGCCTATAGCTCTTTCTCATCTAATAAATCCCTATGCTCCCCTTTTCTTCTTGCCGTTTTTCCCCCAGGGCAATGTTACAGTCCTGCTATTTATCCAGCCACTGATTAAGCTGGCTAAAGCTGGCAGGAACTTCTTTTTTTTTTATTATTATTATTATTATTATACTTTGAGTTCTAGGGTACATGTGCATAACGTGCAGGTTTGTTACATACGTATACTTGTGCCATGTTGGTGTGCTGCAGCCATCAACTCGTCAGCACCCATCAACTCGTCAGCACCCATCAACTCGTCATTTACATCAGGTATAACTCCCAGTGCAATCCCTCCCCCCTCCCCCCTCCCCATGATAGGCCCCAGTGTGTGATGTTCCCCTTCCCAAGTCCAAGTGATCTCATTGTTCAGTTCCCACCTATGAGTGAGAACATGCGGTGTTTGGTTTTCTGTTCTTGTGATAGTTTGCTAAGAATGATGGTTTCCAGCTGCATCCATGTCCCTACAAAGGACACAAACTCATCCTTTTTTATGGCTGCATAGTATTCAATGGTGTATATGTGCCACATTTTCTTAATCCAGTCTGTCACTGATGGACATTTGGGTTGATTCCAAGTCTTTGCTATTGTGAATAGTGCCGCAATAAACATACGTGTGCATGTGTCTTTATAGCAGCATAATTTATAATCCTTTGGGTATATACCCAGTAATGGGATGGCTGGGTCATATGGTACATCTAGTTCTAGATCCTTGAGGAATCGCCATACTGTTTTCCATAATGGTTGAACTAGTTTACAATCCCACCAACAGTGTAAAAGTGTTCCTATTTCTCCACATCCTCTCCAGCACCTGTTGTTTCCTGACTTTTTAATGATCGCCATTCTAACTGGTGTGAGATGGTATCTCATTGTGGTTTTGATTTGCATTTCTCTGATGGCCAGTGATGATGAGCATTTTTTCATGTGTCTGTTGGCTGTATGAATGTCTTCTTTTGAGAAATGTCTGTTCATATCCTTTGCCCACTTTTTGATGGGGTTGTTTGTTTTTTTCTTGTAAATTTGTTGGAGTTCTTTGTAGGTTCTGGATATTAGCCCTTTGTCAGATGAGTAGATTGCAAAAATTTTGGCTACAGTAACCAAAACAGCATGGTACTGGTACCAAAACAGAGATATAGACCAATGGAACAGAACAGAGTCCTCAGAAATAATACCACACATCTACAGTCATCTGATCTTTGACAAACCTGAGAGAAACAAGAAATGGGGAAAGGATTCCCTATTTAATAAATGGTGCTGGGAAAATTGGCTAGCCATAAGTAGAAAGCTGAAACTGGATCCTTTCTTTACTCCTTATACGAAAATTAATTCAAGATGGATTAGAGACTTAAATGTTAGACCTAATACCATAAAAATCCTAGAGGAAAACCTAGGTAGTACCATTCAGGACATAGGCATGGGCAAAGACTTCATGTCTAAAACACCAAAAGCAACGGCAGCAAAAGCCAAAATTGACAAATGGGATCTCATTAAACTAAAGAGCTTCTGCACAGCAAAAAAAAAAAAAGGAACTTCAAATTAATCTCGCATACAATGTCCCCCCTGCCTGGCCATGAGCACAGTCAGGCAAGGTCTACGGGTATGCCCTTCTCCTTGCTTTTGTTCTATCATTAATATACGTCATATTTATTTCATTCTTTACATTCATCAGTATTTTCTGAATGTGTCCTACATATTAATTTATATCTTGGAGGCAGTCTAGTGTTGTAGATAAAGATGAAAGATTTTTAAGAGTAAGAAAGACCTGATTTCAGGTTCATGTTTGACATGCACTAGATTGTGCTATCAGGCAAGTTTTAACATCTCTGTGCCTCAGTTTTCATATCTGTACAATTATGATAATTTCTACACTTCACAGGGTATTTGAAAAGAGTAAATGAAAAAACAAAGTTCTAAGTGAATTGTTGAATAGCATTATCTGATAAAACTTCCTAGAATTAGGGAAAGATTTTATACTTCTGTTATCCAATACATTAGCTACTAAACACATGTAGTTATTAAGTACTTCAAATGTGGCTAGGGTGACTGAAAAATTGAATTTTTAACTTTATTTAACTTTAATTTAAATTGGAAGTCTTAAACTATTCATTGATTGCAAACAAAAACAGCAGAGCAATCTCTCATGTCTTCTAAAGTTCATTTATAATTATGATAAATATAAATATAGTTTAGTTACTAAGCTAGTGTCCCTCATCCTGCCTAGCTAGATCATTTCACAAGAGGAAAGCAGTAAACATCAATAAAACTAAATATAAACAGGCTTGGCATTTGTGGTTTTCTCTCTGGTTCTGTTTCTCAAGGTGTTGTGATCTGTCGGTGTTTTTCCAGCATGAATCACAAAGCACCAGGGATTCATTTCTGGAATACTTTGCTCACCCCAAGTCTTCAGTTTGCTGACCAAGATATAACAACAGAATTATTTTAATACACTTTTCTGGAAAGGTACCCGGATTTTCTGCCCTTTTTTCTCCCTTAAGGATGTTTTGGTAATTAAAAATATATATATATATAATTAAATTTGCTGCATTTATAACTTTCTGTCCTCTTTTGTCCATTTGAAAGAAATCCCCAAAGCTTTAGGATGGGCCAAATATTAAAATATAAATATTAAGTCCACATCCAAGCTGTAAGTTCCCGATGAGAATCATCGAGGTCCCAAGAGAACACTTTCAACACATAAGCCTCATCATTCCCACACCTGTTTCTAAGGAAAGTTCCCCAGAAGGGGTCTCATCATGGATCAAAACAGGTAAACTTACTTCAGATGTTCACCAAATGTAGTAGTTATTCGATAGATGGCAGTTTTTAGTGATGCTCTGAATGCAAATCTTAATGTTTTATATGAAGTGTCCACAAGGCTTCCTGAAATCCGGGGTGGTTTACTGGAAGCATGAGGAAGCTTAAAGTACTTGTCGGCTGCCTACACCAAGAAAGAAAACACATCAGTTTAGATTATAGAGAAAGTCAACCTAGGCCATGTGCTGTGGCTCACATGTGTAATCCAAACACTTTGAAAGGATGAGGCGGGAGGACTGCTTGGGCCCAGGAGTTCCACCGTACTCCAGTCTGGGCAACAGAGATCCTGTCTCAAAAAAATTAAATTAAATTAAATTAAATTAAATTAAAAATTAAAAAGAAAAAAGTCACTTTAGTCCAAAGAATTAAGATTTGAGATAGATACAAATGGATATATACAGAGAGATATATACATATCTATAGATATGCTATAACACATTTCTTATTGTAGATCACAGTCAAAATAGTTTTCATAAACAATGCAATGGGGAGGCTCAGCTACTATGACAGCTACCAGGCCCCCCACAAATCCAGACTTGACCTCAGAAATGAAGCTATCATTCAATAGCCTTGAAAATGCAAAGCCTGAAGCCAAACACCAATGTCCTGCTCTGCTTATGATGTGTGACAGGCAGGAGGAGCTTTATTAAAAGACCTCAGCAAAAAAAAAAAAAAAGACCAAACTTTACACTTTACAGAAATAGTTATTCACTAAATAGTTTATCTTCCTTTTCAATTCAAATAAGGCATTTATGAGCAATGACAGATGATACTGCTACATCATGAGGTCCCCATGGAAAAATAAACTGACAAGATATAACGGTATAAGCGTACTATTTATAGTTATGAATGTAACGACCAAAAGAACTGAAAACAAAAATAATTAAAATTATGTTTGCCATCATGTTCTTAATTTCAAGAGCTCTTTAACATCATCTGTTCTTTTTTAATAGCATCCTATTTTTGTTTCAAAGATACAATATCCTTTATTTCTGAGGATTCTGATAGCTTTTTTGTTTTTTAGTTTCTTCCAAGCTGATTTTCCCCCTTTGCTCCTTTTAGTCTCTAACTTCTGCATGAGAGACTTTCCTCAGAAATCTAGCAATCCTCGCTCACAAATGCAAGTAGGACCTGCTAAAGAGCTGAGCACCAATTATAAGTGCATGACTGGGAATTACAGACAAGGGGCTTCACAGTGGGTCATCTGCAGGGAATTTTGCAGGGTGAACCTTCAACTCAGTCACGTTAGGTCTTTCCTCTTGGACTGGTCAGAGGGCCCAAAGAAAGTTTTCTAGTATCCTGACTACAGGGCCTGGCCCCAGTGTTCTGAAGCTAAGAGGACACCAGGGCTTCTGAACTCATCCCTCTTCTTTAGTACAGCACCCACAACTCCCCCAGACTGGGTGTTCTACTCTCTCTTAAAGGATAAACCTCAGACTACAGTGGAGGAGGAGCAATTACCCCACAGCATAGGATCTAGGGATCTAACTAATTTTCACACAGCTCTCACCCAAACCTCTTTATTTTGGGTACCTGTCCCTTCACCCTTGGTTCTTGAGTTACTTGTGCTTCTCCCACCACCAATTTGAAATCTGCCTCTGGAATCTGCTAAGTTAGCTATCTCAACCATCTGCTTTCCAGCTTTGAAAGTTTTGTTGCTATTATGTCCTCTCCTGTTTATGGATTTATGTATTATAAAATACCTTTTCTATAGTTTAGTAGAGTTTTGGGGAAGGAACAAAATTTGATGCATGTGTTCAGTCTGCCACGGTAACTTCAGTGTTATTTAATATTTCACTGAATTTCACTGAATTTAGTGCTATTTAAGTATTTCACTGAATTTCAACAACTACCTAAAATTATCTCAAGCATGTTCCAGTCTTGGGAAACATTTTTAAAGTTGATAGCAGAAAAAATAAATGATTGGACTCAGAGTTATTGTGGCAGATTGAACAAATGCATCAAATTTTGTTCCATCATAATGGAAAAGTTATATTCTTTTCAATTTTCTTGCAAACGTACTGATTAACCCTCAGTATACCAGGATAAACAGTCATCATCATTACTGCCTGGGTCCTATGAATACTTTATATCTTTTGTAGTCTAAAATCATTTTACAAACAATTTACAGATGACAAGGTAATGTAAAATAACATCATAAAACTTTAAATAAGAAGACCAGGCACAATGGTTCACACTTGTAATCCCAGCACTTTGGGAGGCTGAGGCGGGAGGATTGCTTGAAGCCAGGAGTTCTAGACCAGCCTGGGCAACATAGAAAGATTCTGTCACTACAAAAAATTTAAAAATTAGCTGGATGTGGTCCAACACCTGTAGTCACAACTACTCGGGAGACTGTGGTGGAAGGATTACTTGAGCCCAAGAGTTCAAGGTTACAGTGAACCATGATCATGTCACTGTATTCTAGCCGGGGCAACAGAGCAATACTCTGTCTCTAAAAAAATAAATAAATAAAACAAAATAAAAAAGAAAATAAGAATATAAACATGGCAAATCCAAATTTTTATTCCATATTTTCTAGGTTTTGAAGGTATACACACCTGAAATGAGCAATGTCCTTTGAATGCAACCAGTTGTTCACCAGCTATTATGCATAAATCTGGAATACATCCATCTTGTAAATACTAATTCCAAATTTAAGCTGTATCTCTAATAGGTTCTAGCTCATCAATACTGCTGGGTTTTTTTCTTGTATTTGCACCATCAAAATGCAGTACCTTAAAAAACTTTAGACAACTCATAATTTTGCTGAACAAAGAAGTACAGCCATTTTCTTTGCACCTTAATTGCAAAACATTTTCTTTTTCTTTCTTTTTATTTTTGAGACAGAGTATCACTCTGACACCCAGGCTGGAGTACAGTAGTGCGATCTCGGCTCACTGCAACCTCTGCCTCCAAGGTTCAAGCGATTCTCCTGCCTCAACCTCCCAAGTAGCTGGGATTACAGGCGCCCGTGACCACACCCACCTAATTTTTTTGTTTCTTGTTTTTTGTTTTTTGTTTTTGAGATGGAGTCTTGCTCTGTTGCCCAGACTGAAGTGCAGTGGCACGATCTTGGCTCAATGCAAGCTCCGCTCCCAGGTTCACACCATTCTCCTGCCTCAGCCTCCTGAGTAGCTGGGACTACAGGCATCCACCACCACGCCCGGCTAATTTTTTGTATTTTTAGTAGAGACGGGGTTTCACTGTGTTAGCCAGGATGGTCTCAATCTCCTGACCTCATGATCCGCCCGCCTCAGCATCCCAAAGTGATGGGATTACAGGTGTGAGTCCCGCGCCCGGCCATTTTTTCATATTTTTAGTAGAGACAGGGTTTCACCATATTGGCCAGGCTGGTTTCGAACTCCTGACCTCAAGTGATCCGCCCACCTCAGCCTCCCAAAGTGCTAGGATTACAGGCATGAGTCACCGCACCCAGCTGCAAAACATTTTCATTCTTAGGTTTATAAATACAAATTCAAATGATCAATTCCAGTGGCTTCTTTTCTTTGACATCACCTATTGCCTTCTTATCTTTGTATACACACACCCACCTTCAGCACCTATCCCCTTACAAATTGTATAAAGTAAATTTTGGCGCACAAATACAACAGAAAATGAAGAAACACTGGTCATGTGTACTCTTAGCAAAATGAGAGATTTAAGTTCTTATTATAAAATACTGTGGGATGAAGTCTTTCCTGTTGAATGACTTACTAGATAAGCATACCATACTAGATATATTTCCTTTCTCTCCTTAAAAACATATTGTTCTGTAATCCTTGGGTTTC